AGCACCAGCACCAGCACCAGCACCAGCACCAGCACCAGCACCAGCACCAGCACCAGCACCAGCACCACCAACCGCCGCCGCCGCCGCCGCCCCCACCACCACCACCACCACCACCACCACCACCACCACAATACCCCGGCTACATCTTACAGCTTGTAATGTTTGTTTTGTTGCTGTCACTAGAAACCGTGGCGCCTTCTGCAAGATCAGGTCGTCCGTGCGGAAATCAGGCTCTTTCTTGTCGAAACCGCGAGCCAGGTAGTCCTGTTCCTTTTCATGGAACATCAGGTGCGGAGAGTTCAATTTAAGGCAGTTCGAGAAGCTTGTTGAAGTTGCCCTTTCCAAGGGGCAGGGTTGGTGACTGTGCAACTACTGCGCACTGATGATCTAAGTCCAGGCCGTTGGGCTCAGCAACATGATTAAGGGAAAAAACCCTGAAGAACAAGATTGAAAAACCTATAACAATGGCGACGCAAGCCAGTTATAAGTGCTGTCTTCCGGAAGCTATCCCTGAGACGCGGAGCTGGATAGGACATTTCGCTTTCCAAACAAGCTCAACTGCTGACGAAGAAGACATGACAGCTGACAGCCTTGCGCAAAACCCTCCCCACTGTAGACCCCGAACATGAAAGATTTGGAGCCCCGAAGCGAGTCCCCAGTTCCGAACGGAACAGAATCTGTGCAGAAAGTCCCGTGGCAGATAAAAGACTCATGAAAGTTTGCTTCATGAGAATCTCAGATCCCCTAGATAAATCCCTGTCGTAAGTCCTAACCCCTAAGCCCTATAGGCCCATAACCCCTTCAAGCTTCTCAGACTATAGCTCCTGCTTAAACCCTGAAACCTAAACCTTNNTTAAGGTTTTAGGGGTTTAGGGTGAAGGGGCCTGAACAAGTACCAATAATGCAGAGTCAAATCGAAAAGAATATGGAAACTGAAATGGAAATTGGGTTTTCATAAAGATCTATCGGGATTATATTCGGTACTGCGCCAGTCCAGCGGCAGTCTACGATCTGGGCAATATTTCCGAAGTTAAGAAATGCACTTTCAATTTAATTTCTTATGCAACTGTTACTTCCCTAAACCCTAATCCCTAAACCTTAAATCCTAAACCCACCCTAAGTGGGGGCAGCACCCTTGCAACAGTGGGAGCCGATCTGACAAAAACACTGCTCCCTGATATCCGGTTTCCTTGAAATGGTTGGTGGTTTCCCAAAATTAGGGGGTACCTTTTTGGGGGTCCCCGTAATAAGGAGTATAGTATTATGGGGTCTATATTGGGGTCCCACTATTTTAGGAAACTACCAAATCGCGCCTTCAAGCTCTACAGGCCCGACATCTTCTTTGAGGCCCTTAAACCCTAAACCAAGAACTGTAAGCCCTGGACCCTAAACTCTAAACCCTGAACTCTAAACCCTAAACTCTAAACCCTAAACCCAGAACTCTAAACCCTGAACCCCATCCCTTCGTCCATAACAGCGACTCGCACATCCTTGCCCAACCCCAACGCCGAGCAAGCTTTTCAGCTGCAAGGCATACTTTGGCTAATTACAGTAGCTGCCCTTAAAGGGGCCATGGTAACGCCTACTAGCCATTTTAGGAACAGCTATGATAAGGTGGAATGACCTAAGGCATGCTTTGAAACTCTATGATAGCAATTTCAAGAGAATATAGGATGTTACTTAGTCACAGGTTGGGTTCCAAAGGGATATAGCATCTCACCTAATTATAGGTTGATTTTTTTTACCCAGCGCAACTGTGACCCCCTAAGTGCTGCGGCTTGCGAGCCGGTCTTAGATGATTACCTACTCTGTAGGGCGCACTTAAGCCGCTAGCATGCCCCCGAATGGGGTTACAAGATAAGCCAGCACCCCCCAGCTCATATGTACCCAGACCCCTGGGAGGATCTAAAAATTAGATCCCCTATATAGACCCATTGTAACCCCTATATAATCCTTATATAATTTCGCATATGGTTCTAGGGGATCTAATTTTTGAATCCCTTTTTGGGGGTCTGGATAGTCCTAGGAATCTCAAAAGCCTTCAGTCGGCCCCTTAACCTTGTAAAGCCTACACCCTGGAGCGTATAGGCCTGCACCCTTACCGTAATTACCCGACACGCCATACCCACTAAGCCCTGACACCCTCAAGCCTTCAAAACGCCTCAGATCGGCTAGTAGGCCTCAGCCCCTTAACATACCCATATTTGGGACCCAAATACAGAAGAAATCAGAAGAGAAATACTAGCTCGATCCTTATAGGAAATCTAAGTGGTCAAATATACTCCCCGTATTGTAATGACATCTGCATTCCATCCATCCACCTCTTAAGCACCGAGAAGTACTGTAGGGCATTGAATAACCGATTGAAGGTATCCCATTCTGTAGTTTGACAATGAATCTACAATCACAATCTTAGTGCTTCTTTTCGGCCCCTGAAATCTAAACCCTAAACCAAGATTCGTAAGAGCTCTTGAGTCCTTCGAACCTGGGCAGAGGCGCGCGCAGGAGGGTTTCAACCAGGCGTCAGGGGGACATTGTAGGATAGTAATGGAAAAGAAAATGGACGCTGCTTCATGGAGTAGGGTTTTGCGGCAAAGAAAGCAGAAGCCGTAGTATTCAGGGCTTAAGGTTCAGGGAGTAGGGTTTGGGATACCTGGAGGGTCAGGGGTAAGCATTCGTATAATACAGACATAGAAACCCTAGCTAGCCCTGTTACGAGCCTACTGAAGTCCCAGTGACCTCTAAGTACAATGTTCACCATATGTTGTAGTATAGTGCGCCGTTTAGGGTTAGGGTTTAGGGTTTATAAAAGACTGTCCCTTCTATTGCGAGAATGCATTATCCAAATTGCTGCTGCTGATTGTGTACGCGAACGTCTTTCGGGATCCCCTTTTTTCGCACAGTCTGCTGGCCCTGAGAGCAGTAACACTGCACACCACTCATCAAGATTCAGATCTTGATCCGAAAGCATTTATACAAGAGTTTCTCAAAATCATGGGTACCTTTTCGGGTGGTCCCCGTAATAAAGATTATAGTATGTATATTGGGGGTCGCCCTGTCTTTAGGAAACAGCCATATTATGTAAGGCATGAAGCTAAAGCTATTGAGTGGCAAGCCAAAAACAAAATGCAAAAATTTGAGGACACACTGCGGCTTTCTGGCCATATACATGTACCTCTTGGAATATTCCCCATTACAGTAAAAGTTCTATTGGTACTTAAATGTATAACGGCCCCTTCGTTAAAACCCCATTCAGGACAGCAACTGTGAGGGGGATTCAAGATACTACCAACACTTGTGGTACCTCAAACTTGCAATGATGCAATAGCCAAACGTATGACTCTATAGTAGCTTTCCATGTTCTATTTCATGATTCCATATAGCCCCTATATACTTAGGGGATCCCCAAAACCACGGATTACCTGTCCGGACATGTCGGGATTGCCAACCCATCCCGAAATCACTTCTGGGCCCTAAAGCGAAGCTGCGCAAGGCTTCGTCGGAAGCTGCTCAAATCTCAAAGGCCCGATCCCTAAACTTTGGGTTAAGGGTTCAGGGCTTATTGTGGGTATAGCAGTATAACAACAGTCGTTTCGATACTGGCGACCGTTATAGGCTAGAGTGAGGGCAACATCCTAAACGTTGCATTGGGTCAATCCACTCAGTAATGGGTACCACAAAGGACTATTGTAGGTATATTACGGCCCTACGAACTCTATACTCAGGGCTAAACCATAAACCTTTACCCCGCAAACCCCCAAACCCTAAACTTTGCAGTGCTCGTCCAGTACCTAGGACTCTCCCAAGCTTAGCCTTTTTAAGGGGGAGGCTGGGCTTATGAGGGATATATAAGTATATACAGGGTTTTGGGTTTTGGGTCCGGTTCCCTAAACCCTAAATAACCCTGAATACATACTGGTTACTGGATTGATATTACCAAAAAAGGGTTCGAAGGTTCGACGCGGCCCACGAGACAGGTAGAAAATCCTAGTCTCAAATTACGTGGCGGAACCCCAAACTCGCCCTAGAAGCCCAGTTACTTAAATATTGGGTTCCTGTCCTTAAGTCCCTATATAATTTGATATTATCTGTAACCCAAGGACCTACCATATGGGTACCTGGGCTTCTAGGGTCTAAACCCTCCGAGGAGCATGTTATACTTGGGCTTCCAGGATGGCATATGTCGCTTGGCCTGTCACAAGGAGAGCCGCAATTATCATAGTACCCCTCAAGACTTGGAACCCTATAAGGCCTTACCCTCCCGGAAACTAACATGGAAACCCAAAAAGGGCCCTATAAAGACTACAGTCCTTTTGAAGGGGGCCTATATGGGTTTCCATGTTAGTTTGGGGGAGTGTATTAAGCCTGATATCATCCTTATTAGCTCCTTAAACCACCCTAATGGGGGGTTCTGATTATACCCCCCCCCACACGTAGAGGGGTGTGAATAATCCGGGGGGTCCCCAGCAAGTACGGGAAAACTTGTTTGGGGGGGATCCCAGAGGAACCCATAAACCCTAAACACTACGCGCTAAGCCCTCTGGCCTAAGGCTTGGGATATATTTGCAATTAAGTATTAATAAATCCTTTCCCTCGAATATTAAAACCCACCCCATATATATATAACTCTATTTAAATTTCAATTGATTTGAAGCTAGCATACACTATTCCGTTCCTATGTTGTTATTAATCCGTTNNCAGGCCTGATTTAGCTCTAATACGACCCTCTGTTGTAATCCGAAGCTGACATTAAACCCTAAACCCAAGGTGTCAATATTGTAACCCCGTTCTCCCGTACTCCTCAAACACTGATGGATTGTTTTTTTTTTGGAGGGTGTGTCCCTACACATAAACCCTAAACCCTAAACTGTGTGTTCTATTGCAATGAGGGCTGGAGGTTGCGAAGTGCCCCGAACCCAGCCACAGCCTATAGAGCTTGCTTAGGGTTTAGGGGTTAAGGGGTTAAGGGTTTGAGAGTTTTCGGGTTTACAGCCTTTAGGGCTTAGGGTTTAGGGGTTTTAGGGTTTGAGGGTTTAAGGGTTTTGGGTTTCGGGCTAGAGTTCTAGTATATATTTTTCAAGGTGCACCCTAAACCCCCCTGCCCTATACAAACCCCAAAAGGCCCCCTCAGCCTAACTTTATATAAGTATTCTGTAGCTCAGAAAGCTGGAGGACGTTAAATACCATCTGCCCCTGCAGATAAGTACTTGCAGGGTTTCACTTCACCCTGATGCCACGGATATACCCAATGAACATGAGAGACACAACCCAAGAATCAAAGTGCAGGTGGAATTTACTGTAGACCCCTTATTAATGAACTCCCTTCCTTAATGGGAATCATAATAGGGATCCTAATACTAAAGCCCTTAAAAGGAGGGGGCTCATTAATCACGGGTCTACATTAGGGTTGAGGACATCTATATGGGTTCTGCAAGGCTGCACACGAGATGCGTAAGACTTACCCAGACCCCTGGGAGGATCTAAAAACTAGATCCCCTATATAGACCCTGTATAACCCCTATATAATCCTTATATAAATTTCCCATATGGTTCTAGGGGATCTAATTTTTAAATCCCTTTTGGGGGTCTGGGTAAGCAAGGTCTGCTCCAGGGCGTTTGTCACTTGAACTTGCCATGAACCCGGCACTCCATTTGGTAGTTTCCAAACATAAGGGGACCCCAATATAGACCCCAATATACTGTAATCCTTATTATGGGACCTCCAAAAAGGTACCCATGATTTTGGGAAGCTCCAATTTTGGAGTATCTGGGAGTTTGATGTCCGGCTCCTCGTAAGAGATCATCACGTACAGAACTTGAAAAATGTGCAGGTATCACAAATAATGACCATGTTTAATCTATACTTGCTGGTGCCTGGTAGGGAATAAGGGCGTAAAATCCTCATGTAACTTATTCCCTTGTTCCCTACTAAGCCCCAGTAAGTATACCTGGTTCAGGTATACACGCAATCCAAAGCCCGAGGTCATTTCCGTGTCATGGGATTCCGCCGTGAATGATTCTGAGCTTACTGGGGGGGAATAAGGGACTATGTCATTTAGTGATTATGTTCCCTTATTCCCTGCTAAGCACCAGCAAGTGAAGCTGGGTGGTTCCAAGACATGAATTGTTAGGGCATGCCAGGGTCAGTTGTTCCCCTATCAACCACCAACGCTATACTAGGCCCCTAGGCTCTTACTTAATTCAAGGCTTTTTAAGGATAACTAGGATAAAGGTACGGCTAACTAAGGAGGTATCCTAAACCGGGTTGCTGTCAAGGAACTTAATTTCAGCTACTCTATTTGGGGAATCATATTAATTACTATATATGACCATCATAGTAACTTAATATGAGTTCCTTACCAGCAACCCAGTAAAAGGGTAGTATAGACGGCTGGTAGGGCAGCCTGTTCAGGGACTGAGACCTCATGGCAGCTGAGTGGGAGCTTACTTCTACTTCCTTTTGTGTTGTTCAGGGCTTGGGGTTTAGACGTCTCCGGCAAAATCACCCTAAACCTTAAACCCTAAGCCGTCGTATCTTCGGAGTAGCCAGAGAGGGCCACGACATTCGACAGCTGTCATCCCATTTTGGATGATACCCTAAGCCCTAAAACCTGCACCCAGTCCTGAATCCTTAACCTCTATGACAAAAAGGGTTGCCCCCTAGTCTATTCCTGGTAAGGTTTAGCGTCTAGGGTAGGGTTTAATGTTTGGGGTCTAGTAAGCGTGGTCCATTTCTTCTAGGGTTTAGGATTGGGGTTTGCAGGGTTTTAGGCTTAGGTTTTGTCCGATTTTTCTAGTGCTGGGATTTATGGTGCGGCTTCTTACCCGAAACTATGAAGACGTCAGTTCATGATTGGTTATATGCAGCAAAGCCTTCTCGATCGACGCGAAGAAATGCATGCCGCGGAAAGGGAAGGCTTTCGGAAAGCCGTCAGGCACCTGCATTGGACGCCAGCAGATTGACTGTGGCAACAAACCCTGGGATTGTTGGCAATAGCTTGGGAAAGCGTATATCTGGAAAACACTAAAACCTACACATACGTGCATGACATCAGAATGACCTTTAGCACTCACAGAACCACATGGAAAATTAGTTGCACTAAAGATCGCGTCTGCAGATTGTCATTCAGACAAAACGAGGTGCCACTTTGGACGCCCCATGAGCTATAGTCTAAACTCCTAGTATCTCCCCTTAATAAGCCCCATGATACTCCCCTATATAACCCTCTTTAATTAAGGAGTTTAGAACCCCAAACCCTAAACCCTATATAATCCCCTCTATAACCCCCCTTAAGGAGTTTAGACTATAGGTCACATCATGTCAGATGGAAGGTCTCACCTTCATACCTTCCTTTGTCCACTGTTCCAGATCCCTACCCACTGGAATGATTGTTTAGGGTGTAGGGTAATAATTGTAATGATTTGGGGGAGGGGGGGGGGTCCTTACAAAGCCATGATATTCCATTCCTACTACCTAGAATATGTGTAATGATTTGGGGGGTGTCCTTACAAAGCCCTGTCATTCTATTCTTACTACCTAGGGGCCTATACCCCTAAGATCCTACGGCCTATCCTACCTAAACTCTAAACCCGAAACCCCAAACCATAACACCCAAACCCTGAAACCTAAACCCAAACCCCAGACCCTAAACCCAAGGCATGGGGACCGAGACGAGAAGCAGCGAGACCCGGTATTCAGGAATTTTAATTTTGCGATTTGTCGCAGCAGCTCTTTCCCCTGATGTAGACCCATGATTAATAAACCCCCTCCGCATCCCTATTGTAGTCCATATTCAGAAGAGGGGGTTTGTCTATCAGGGGTCTGGGTGAACCAACAAAGATGAGTTCAAACCATCTAGAAAAAAGGCGCAAACGCAAAGCCGGCCCTAAAGCCAATAACAAGTTAAGATGCCGCAGTACATCGTCCCGGAGCTGTACATGGACAGATTTCGGAGCATTGCCCGTGTAGCCCAACGTGCAAAGGGGCACCCACAAGCTGTCTCAGGCACTCAAATTAGCCAACCTGAAACTGATTTCCATGAAGCCCACCATTCTGGGCAAGGTCGTTATTGCTGTTCCCAGGCCAAATCCTAAATCCCTAAGTCCTAAACCCCTAACCCCTTAACCCCTAAACCCTAAACTCAGCGCTGCACCTCGATCGACTTTGGGTCGTAGTGAACAATCGTTGGCTCACCCATGCCCGCTGCTTCCGAACAGAGCTTGGCCATACCTCAGCATTTGAGGGTTGATCTCAATGGGCTCCTGAAGGTCTACTAGCAAAATGTGGGGGAAATGGCCACTTTGGGAGCAGGAATTTTGATCAACACCCGCCTGGAGTTTAGGGCTTGGGCTCCCTAAGGGTTCCTTTCAGGGGATAATGTAGGACACATAGGGCGCAGGGGGCCGAAATAAATACTTTGGCTTGTAATTTGGGTACTGCCCCAACCCAGTAACAGTCTACATTAGGGGTCCCATTAAGGGCTGTATATAACCATATTACAATTATTATCCAACTGTCACTGAGTGAGGGCAGTATCCAACTTGTAATCAAGAAGCTGGATAACCAGCAGGCAAGCATACCAAGGTGAAGAGGGGTGGAGGATCCCCAAAAAAAACAAAAAGGTTTGAAGTATGGGCCCCTAATATGGTATGGGGTTTAGGGTTTAGGGTTTAGGAGTTTATGTGTACTTCCGACGCTTGCAGGACCTGAATACGCAGAATACCTTAGGCGGACCCCCCACCCAGTAATAGTGACTATAAGGGATAAAAGGGAACATATTAGGGTTCTCTTATATTGCTATTATACCACTATTACAGGGTGGGGGGTCCTCCTAAAGAATACCACTCGTAAGAGGCAGAGCTTCTACGGTGACTGTTTCTCCTGCGCGGTTACAAAACCTTCGACCAACTCCCAAATTCCCATCTTCGCTTCAACCATGCAGAAAGCAACATGGTTGATGCTAAGGAACTGAAACCAGCTTACCATAAGTAAGCCCGGCTTCGTACCATGTATCTGTATTTTGGTTACTCTTTAACCCTAAGCCCTAAAGCTTAACAGCAACCCACGCAAAGCCTCTCTTCGCCGTATTCCCGACATATCTGGCCAATCCCCTCCCTGGAGCTTAAGAGTAAACACATAGGGGTCTATATAATTACCAAGATCGATTTGAGGTCTACTTGCGGTACCTTGTAATACTATAGTTATACAAGGAGCCGAGGACCATACTGAGCCTAGGACCATAAAATTGGGGATTATTCCGGCCTGAGCAGTATAACAATAAAACAAGGCACAGCCCCTGAATAACATGTCAGGCGCCTCAGCAGATCAAACTTTCGGAGCGCCAATGCAGGCTATATACATGAGATTCAGCAAATACAGGAATTTAGGGTTTAAGGGTTCTATGAGCTTCAGTCAATATTTCCTGCAGAATTTAATGGACATGGGTTCCTTTTTCGGACTATATTACGCGCTATACGAAACTACAAGAGGGGAATCCTATGTCCACCGTCAAGGGTCTCTTAATGAGCCCCATGCTGACAATAGCTGAAATGAAAATCATGCATGGAGATGTGGCAAAATCACTCCTCCCGGGCTCAAGATCCCACTGCTTTAAGATGTTTTAAAGGTGCCGGGTTTAGCGGTTGCATGGCTTTTCCTTGGGCCTTCCCGTCTACTAATAAAACTCCTTTCGGGCCCTCAGGTCTATGAACAGTGCCTACTTTGGGCCCCAAACCCTATAGTCCCCCTTAAGTAGATAGAATATGGATTTGGGTACATTATGATAAGATCCCCATAAGCCCCATATTCTATCTACTTAAGGGGGACTGTAACCCTGAACCCTAGAGAAAGAGTGTCGGGCTGCTAGACAGGCCCCTTTTGAAAGGTTCCCAGGGTTCAACCTATGAATGCGTGCGACAAAACTAAAACTTGTATACCTGCATATATATATATACATATATATATATGTCCATATTCTTATATGGTTATATGTATATAGAGAGAGAGACTTTAGGGCTTAGGTATTTATGTATATGTATGTGTTTATATGCATATATAGGCATGTTTTGCACATATGGGCTTTCGAAAGTTCAGGGCCTTTTGGAGTAGCCCCAACAACAAAGATGATCCGTGCTTTTGAGGGTATATGTCAAAGCCCCCCCCCCCCATTCTGAACGCTACACATTACAGTATTTCGATACAGTACCTTCTTGCGTAGACTGAACAATGGCCAGATACCATCGAAAGTCACGTACTCCTGCGCAGCATTGGGCAAGAGGAAAGAAATGTGGGACTGGGTCTGACTTTGGTAGCTCCCAAAACAACAATCTCGTTTTGGCTCGTCTGTACCCCGAAATATTAGGTGCCGTACTATGATTCAGAACCAAAGGGGCCCATAATTCTGAGAATAGCTCAAGTACAGTTCTCAGAATGGGGGAAGTTCACATAGCGACCCGTCTTGTAACAGCGACGCATAAGGGCCCGTACTATAATGAATTTCGGGAAATCCTCATATTGGAGCCATAATCTAAACTCCTAGTATCCCCCTTCAAAGCCCCTCTAATACTCCCCTATATAACTTATAACCCCCTTTAAGGAGTTTAGACTATGAATCATGTGGTGGGTAAAGAGCTTAATTGGCCTGGCTCTTCCGGGAATGACGATTCAAATTGCTGCAATGTGGTTTCTGAGACCTGCAAAACGTTGGGTCCTAATTGTGTGCCTAAACAGCGGAGGTGCCTTGCATAAGAAGCTCAATCAATACCACCCTGATTTTCCTGAAAAAAAAACTGACTTTGGCTGTGCTGCCGCCGCACGCCGGTGGGAAAAAAAAAGTTGCAAAGACATCTGCGATTAGGATTTGCAGCCATAAAAGGAGGTGAGGAGACATAAGGTACGTATCTTTTCCTCAAGGTCGCATGATGTGACGCTGTCCTCATTGTGGGCGCGGTGTCGGAAGGCGAAACGCACCAAGCCCTCCGTACGCTGTGATTGTACGGATATGTGTCATCTCTAGAAATCTTCATGAACCTTATATAGTGGTTCTTAGTAGGGAATAAGACAATCTAATACATAATCCCTATAATATCTTCCCTAATTCCCTTCTAAAACCAGTAAGGAACTGGTCAGACTCCTTACCGCTAGTCAGCTTGATTTTCGATGGCTTGTCACGCGCTTCCAGACCCCCTTGGCTACACACACAAGATCTGAGAACATCAGAAACAAGCACGGTCAAAACTGAAGTTACCTGGCTGTCTTGGGTTACTACTGTACGTAGCAGGATGAAGAAGCATTAAACGGCGAATCCTCAGAATGTAAAACCATCATATAATGAGCGCGCGACCCTTAACCGCAAACCTTAAACATTGTTATTCATGGGGTGGGGGCGATTTCCTAGGGGGAGGGCTGAGGGGGTTATCTTCACTCCAACACCAAGGACCATAAATTCCGGTTTAAGGTTTAGGGTCCCTACATGCTATGCCCTCGACCTCATTGGAAGAAGCCCACAGTTTCAAAGTAGGGCTTCTACATAATGTCGACCTCTTACAGCTAAAGTTCGGTTATGCAAAGTAGGGCTCTAAGTACTGTAGGCCTACAAGAGGACTTAGGAACTCAGAATAACTCGGAAACCCATCCCTATGATACTATCGCACTTCCACACGGGGATTTCCTGGCTGGAAACATTGTACACCTGACGTGTCACCGCGCCGTTCCCGACGCACTTAGCCTGAGTTCAGAGGTTTCAAGAAAGGTGTAGCATGAAATCCTAGGACTATCATACAACAAATATAGGGAACCTGGGCTTAACATTGTCCTGCTAATTAACTATTGGCATCCAGACTTATGAGTACTTTTGGTCTTTGAAATCCTCTGACCCCCAAAACTGGGCGAAGCTGAGATTTCTGTAGTGGAGCGGCTGCGCCAGCAAGATATATCTCGTGGACAGGACCGTTTACCAGCACATACACCAAAGCGGCATCTGATTTTGACGCTGATCTAGATATGGGAGTCTCCACTCTCCGTAAAATCCCAACCTATCCTGTCCTAAGGGATCCTTTTTTGGCTTTAGGGATTATGTACGGTTTAGGGGTCACGAGGGTACGGGGGGTTTAGGATTTAGCTGGGAAGAAACGGCTGACAAGGCCACCGAAAATTGAAAAGGTTCCATGGGGTTGCGGGATCCCCACTGAAAAGCTTGATGAGCAGCCAAGTCAGTAGATTCTCTCCACCCTGTGCTTGTGTGTGCTTCGTCGGAAATGGAGGAGTAGACTCCTATAGTTGTTTCCATCCAACCCCTAAGCTCTAGACCCGAAACCCTCGACCCCATAGCCCTCCCTTCAAGGGTTTCCGGCTTGTACCTCTAGGGTTGCACCCCTGGGTTTTGGGATACTTTTAAAGGGTTCTAGGGGACTACATGGGTTCATGTAAGGGCTATATCAAAGCTGTATTCTGGGGAAACCTTTTATTGATATGACCTCAGGGGGACAACCAGGAACCATTGATCCCTAAAACCCACTCCCAAATTTCCTGACAGGAAGTTTGGGGCCTCATGTAGGGGCATCAGTATAAACGCCTTAAGAGTATACTGAGTATTTTATAGGCACTTGGGAGTCAGTATAGGGGGAATTAAGCAGATGACTCTTCAGGCTCCTATATAAGATGAACTCAAATGTCTCTCGCGACTGCAGGAATAACGCACTGAACCCTAAAGCCCAACCCTAAATCCTAAACCCTAAACCCTGAGCCCTAAACCCTAAACCGCATCTTTGACTTTCAGCTTTGTGTCGTGCTCGCCGGAGTCCACCAGCCCAAAACCCAAACACCAGACCCTAACCTTTGAACCCTGAACCCTCAACGCCCTAAGCCCCAAACCCTAAATCACGCAACCCTACATAACCTGCCTAAACCCTAAACCCTAATAACCCTAGACTCCCCAACCCTAAAAGCCCTAAACCCCAAACTCCCGAAGCTCACTGAATTCCCTAAACCCTTAACTCCCTAAACCCTATTACTTCAGCCAGTAAGTCACCATAAAGTCGGCCAGGTCTTCGCAGTGACCGAGCTGAGTGATGAACTTTCCGCCATAAGGGACCTGAGCTGCCTTAAGTTGCCTTCTTTTAGGGGTTAGAGTAGGGATTATATAGGGTTATCTTCTCCTAGGGGTTATAGCAGGGATTATGTTGTCTTCTTTTAAACTTGTTAGTAGAGATTATGTAGGGTTAAGGGTTTGGATTTTAGGGTTGTGGGCTTAGGGCTCAGGATTTAGGGTCCCGTTAAAACGGCTGTTTGGGCTATATAGGGAAGTAAGTGACATAAGGTCTACGTATGAATACACACATTGTAGAGGAAGCTAGGGTTAAGTGCCTAGGGTGATTGGGTTAGGTTCGTAAGGTTTAGGGCATTTGCAAACCTTAAACCCTAAACCCCTAAACCCTAAACCCTAAACCCCAACCAAACCACAAGAGACCCTGAACAAACAAGCCCACAGGAAGAGAAAAGGAGGCCAAACGAAGAAAATTCCGCAGGAGGAGGCTGGCATCAAATGTGCTATAGTCTAAACTCCTTAAAGGGGGTTATATAGGGGATTATATAGGGTTTAGGGATTTGGGTTTAAGGTTTAGGGTTTAGCATTTAGGGTTTAGGGTCTAAACTCCTTGAAGAGGGTTTTATGGGGGAATTATTTAGGGGACTATGATAGGGGTCATTAAGGGGGATACTAGGAGTTTAGACTACAGCTCCAATGTTGGACCCCTAGTCCGGGCCCTCCACAAGATTTGGGGGTTTCCCAGCATTGGGGGTAACTTATTAGGGGTGCCCACAAGAAGGATTATAGTGTTTTGGGGTCTACATTGGGTCCCCCTAATTTGGGAAACTACCATTTAATGTGTAGCGTTGTAGGGTTTAGGGTTGAAATTCATACAAGGCAATGTCGAAGCCCATGCCTCCGAGAGAAATAGCGAAGAAAGACCCGCTCAAAAGACCACTAGGGGTTTAGGGTTTTGGGTCTGGGGCCTGCCTATCTACTGACTGGTACTTAGAAGGGAGTGGCGAGAGGGGAGAAGCATTATCGGTACTACACCAGACTTGTACAGGGAATCTGGCACCGCAAGCTTGGTAGCTATGGAGGCCCCTGTACTACTACCACCACAACCACCACCACCGCCGCCGCCGCCGCCACCGTGACGACGACGACGACTACTACTACGACGACTACTACTACTGCAACTACAGGGGATTCTACTGGGAAAGTTGTAGGGGGTTGGTTGAACTTTATAATGGAGAGGTATGCTAATACAAGTTCCTTAGATGGCTCCAGGCTACAGAGGGATAACCCCTGAACCCTAAGCCCTAAGCCCTAAGAGTGGATCAAGGGTTGCTGGGTTGGTGGAGATATGAGGCATAGTCTAAACTCCTAGTATCCCCCTTAAAAACCGCTATAGTAGTCCCCCTGTATAATATCCTGTATAGCCCCCCTTCGAGGAGTTTAGATTAAGGCTCATATGAGGTGTGAGGGCTTATCATGGACTACATACCTGGCCTCACAGGCAGCAGAGACACCCACAGCCCGAAAGCCCAGAACCCTAGAGTGACCAGAATGGATACTAGTGACCACAATAAGTACTGGGAAAATGTGCTGGCCCACAACTCTAAAGTGACCACAATGGATAACAATGACCACAGTAAGTAATGGACAAATTGCTGGGGTCCTTCTATATTCGGATTGTACCACCTAGGTCCCCTGTTTAAGCGGCCTCCGAAGCACATCAAAGAAGGGCTCTTTATGACCATTATTCCTACTGCATCACTACAGCTGCTACGGCATAATGCCAACTGTATTACGGCCCCTGTATATTCCTACCTGTACCGCTTTATGAATACCGTCCCCTAACAATAGTCCTCCCAACGGCCAATGATGTCTAATAATACTCACACCCAAAGTAATACCATTCCATATGAGTGGGAGTATTATACGCCGGGGGCAGGGATTTATTGGGGAAGCCTATCAATCTGGAATCGAGAAAGACACCCTAAACCCTAAGCACTAGACGACAGCCCAGGGGCACAGACTGGCCTGCCTCGCGTGACGCGATCAAAGAAATACCTCTTCATTCACTGCCATGTGGTACCAAGGCCATGAGCCTCTTAATGCAGGTACCCTTATTTAAATTCAAATAGGGAGTAATCTACCCTTATCTAAGTCCTAATAATAGCTCTTTCCTAAACCTCAGGTATTACCAAAAGAAGGCCATACGTTTGACAAAGGCCCATGCGACGTAGGGCTCTGGGTCAGGAAGGCATTTCGGGGGTTTGGACAGTACCCAGCCAAAAGGATCCTGAGTAGTTATATAAATTTTCGGTTTAGACTTTACAGGGAATACTGACCTAAACCACATTATAAACTCCTAGTATAGGAATCCTAGATTCTACCATATAGATACTTAAAGCCCTAAAAGCCCTAAACACCAAAAAAAAACTATATTGTCCCCATGTGTCCCTTATACTATCCCTTGAAGCCCTACATTGTACCATATAGATACTTGGGACCCTAAACCCTAAACCCCAAACCCTTAAACCCGAAACCCCAAATCCTTAAACCCCAAACCCTGAAACCCCAACCCCTACACCCCAAACCCTCGGATACCTTGGGATTTTGCCGTAAAGGTTGCGGGGCTTGAGCTTCGAGGTCTCAACTGCCCCGAAAAGAACTCAAAACATATAGGGTTTTATTGTTTTGGTTTAGGGTTGAGGGCTTAAAGTTCAGGATTTAGGCTGGCGGAATCTCTTGGTGTTGCCATGTCTTGCCCCTTATGGCAGGGGAGTCCAAGTCCAAGACTGTCCAGCACAAGAACGAAAAATGCACCCTAAACCCTGTGCCCTAAACCGATGAACCCTACCAGGGTGGGCCATTAGTCATGAGACCGTATAAGACTCTTAATCGGCCTTTATATGCCTTTATTCAAGTCCTGGCAGAGGGGAAAGCTTGAATCGCATGTTGGACGCCCTTTTGTGAATGCTTCAAGAACCGGCGGAATACCTAGAATGATCAGAATGGCATCTTTGAGCATGTTAAATGGAAATACTCATCAACAATGGGTTTTAGTATTCTAAATCATGACTTTATGATGCCAAATAAAGGTGCCCACCGCATAATTTATCCCTTTAGAATCTCTATATAACTATAGGCATCCTAATGGTAGCTCTTACGGTCTAGGGCTTAGGGTTTACGTGCTAGGGTTTGGGGTACCCTAGTCCCCCAAGCCCAAAACCTCCCGACCTCTCCACAGGATTGTAGTTCCTTGGTACATGCAGGAGCTTGGTGTCTCAAATGTTTTAGATGTTTAGCACCTTGGCTTTCCATAAAAACGGTTTCATGTTAGGGTTTCGGGATTTTGGGGCCTTGAAGGGGTTACAGGTGTATATGGGGATATGCTACGGATGATATGGACTAGAGGGTTTAGGGTTTTCATTAAGGGGGGGTCCCCTTCACTCAGGACAATAGTATACTCGTCCATATATAGTGGATCCCCCTACTATTCTTGAGAAACGACCATATCGTCGAGGCCCTCAACATCGACTCCTAAACCCTAAACCCCAAAACTCCAAAATACTGTCATCCTCAAGCCTCAATCCCGATACCCCAAACCCTACGCCCCAAATCCTTACTGTGGGGAGGGACTCCCAATGTCAAAAACCCTCATGACAATGTTTTCTACTGGAAGAGGAAAGTCCAAAACGTCCCTTTTACATTCCGTTTACCGTCAGGAAGAGCTAATTCAGGACCTTAATTTAGGGTTTAGGGTTCATTTTCCAGGTCACGCTGGCGCTAGAGTGTGTTCAATAAGGACCCTTATATAATTATGATGCCCTTGTAGTCCCCCTCCCTAGGTAGGCATAGTACGAAACACTGGTTGCTTCTATCATGGTAATTCTACGGGCCTCTGAAGGGGACTACAAGGGTCTATGCTTACCACCCGGACGCCTGCGCCCATACTTTACTTACAGCCTGTTTGGAAGTTTAGTATTGACAGTAGCTCACGTAAACGGGTCTCGTGTAAAGAGTATTCCATATATTATCCGATATCTCTGTTTTGGAGATCTCGCTTCCTTTTAATCTCTTGGGCCCTGCAACTATTTCTGAGCAGGAAACCGAATCTTCAGACCCTCGAACATCAGGATCACAAAGCTGGGCGCAAGAGTGGGGGATACACCTAGACCCTAAACCGTCGTATGCTGAATGCAAAGGATTCCCCTGACCTGGAGGGTACCCCCTGTATGGCATTAATAAGTGGAATGACCAATTCTGCAGCTCATGTCCAACAAAGGAAGAAGGCTGCTCACAGCATTTTGTAATTTGCCAGTTGCACGCTAGAACCAAACACATCCAGAAATAAGGCCAAAGGCACGCTGAAACCCATGGTGGATTCTGGAAGACTGCTGGAATTCAACTAACCCAAAGACTGTAATTTTCATACCCTAAACCCTAACCCCTAGACCTTGGGACCCCAACTAAGATTTTTATGGACTTAGCTTCCCCAGAAGGTGTGTAGGAACTACATCCGCCAGCAACTCATCTTCCGCACCCAAGCCTCCTCAAATCCCAAACCTAATTAGTAGTTTCCATTTTCTTTTCCATTACTTCTGTATAACCCCCCTTATGATATACCCTGTTCTTTACTATAGGAGTTTCCATGTTTTTTCATTATCCCAAACCCTGCAAGGGGCAGGGTCCCGTCATGGTTAAGCGCAGGTACACAAATAGTACCTATTCGACTTCTGGCTAAAAAGCTGTGGGTGTATAGTGCCCTTTAAGTAGGGAATATGGGGCATATGAAGACCTGATTGAATTCTGTATTCTATCTACTTGAGCGAGAATGTAGTCTATCGAGGTATAGTTTCATTAAGGGCTTTGAGCTTAGGGTTTAGGGTTTAGGGTACGGTCAGGAAAATTCAGCATGAGTTCCAACACCCCTGAGGGCACGCAGTTGGGACCTCCAGGAACAAAAATCTCACACTACTGCAGCCTCAGCTGTGTTGATTGAGAGTATGATGTGCCATATGTCGAGATAAGTATATAATAAGGATACCTTTATGTATATATATATATATACATATTTATATCCTAAACCCTAAGACCCTAAACCCTAAATATGTGCTCTTGAAAGCCCTACCCTGGTTTTGGCCTGATTTAGACAGCGAGGTTCAGGGGGCCGTAGATGTAGACGGGCCGAATGGAGGTCCAGTTCATGCCCATCTCATCCAGGTACTTCTCGCAGGCAAGCTTATCCTCACCAGCGGGTTGAGAATTGCAGAAGGGTTGAGGGTTTAGGGCAATGTCTTCTGTGGGGATATGTGGGTTCTATTGGGGTTATGAAATACCGGTTTAGGGTTTAGGGATATACTACCCCAACAAAGGGAAAGAAAAATGAACAAGAACATGGAAAATGACCTGGCAACTGGGATCATCTATTGGCACATAAGGATTTAGTGGTTTCCACAAGTCCGGGTCCCTCTTGGGAGTCTTTCTTTAGGCCAAAGACTTGGGTTTAGGGTTGGGAGGTTGGGGGGAAGGCTAAAGTCAAAGGTTCAGAGCGGATGTACCTCAAGTGCCACATAAGCTATAATCTAAACTCCTAGTATCCCCCTGAATAACCCTTATAGTAGTCCCCTGTATAACCCCCTATATAGCCCCCTTTAAGGAATTTTCACTATAGCACATGTAGGATCCCAAGTCCCAAGCCCTACTTTGAATTTAAAAGCCTGAGACCCCGGCTCTGAATCTGTTTGGGGGGTAAGCAACACGGAGACCCTGGGGACCCCTAGATATGAAGGGTTTAGGGGTTTAGGGGTTTAGGGGTTTAGGGTTTAGGGGTTTAGGGTTTAGGGTTTAGGGGTTTAGGGGTCTAGGGGTTTAGGGTTTCATGACGAGCTCGTGGGGTGCCGAATAGACATGTACAACTAAACTTTTTGTTGAGAAGTTCCTACCCAGACCCCCTCAAGGATCCAAAACATGGAACCCACCAATATGAACCCATGACTACATTGGGGAACCTAGGGGATTATTAGGGGGTTCCATTTTTTGGATAAGCAATTTAGGGCAAGCCAAGACCTTTCAAAGATGCCCAACCAGTCCCTGTAATCCATGCTTTCAGGCCCAACCTGAGAGGCCCAACGAGAGACCTTACATGAGCCACAGTCTAAACTCCTTAAAAAGGGTTACATACGGGAATTATATAGGGGACTACAGGGTTTATTGAGGGCGATGCTAGCAGTTTATACAGTGGCTCACATGGCAACGGAGTCGTTCCACTTGCTGCTTCATCTACTGTGGACTGTGGTGCCCTCCGTGGTCCTTGTGTCGCGAGTTGGGGTCACCTGGCGTCGACTCGCTGAGAGGCAGCACATCGGTCGGCCCGTAGACGCCCGCACCTCGAACTTGATTCAAGGGCCCGTTCACCCTGAAGCCACAATCCCAGAAGGATCCTAAAACCCCCAACCAGAAACCCTATAGTATTTCCCTACAATGGAGAGTCGAATGGAAAAGAAAATGGAAAATGAAATGGAGACTTGGGTAGTATAGGGATCTAAGTACAGCATGTAAGGGAAGTAGACTTTTCCCTGTCGAGGGTTTAGGGGGGAGGGTCCAGGCCTCTAGATTTTCTCATGCAAGGAGGCATGCTGCATTGACAGTTGCCCAGCTTCCAGACTGAAGGCACTCTGGGAGTCTAAGACGACATGACCGAGAACAAGAGGAAGGATGGTAAGGGGCCACTCTGTCCTGATATGTCCCTCATACGAATCTCGTAGAGCCACACAAATGGCAAAGTCTTGTCATGCTTTCTTCCTTCGCAGAAACAGAAGAAAACAGGCCGGTTCTTTCATGATGACTACTCGGTGCCTAGCAGGGGTAAAGGGAATCCAGGCGACAACGTTCCGTATCAACGGATAGTGTTGCTCCTTGCAACCCTTCCCTCCTGAGCACCAGGAAACTAAATTCTAGCCCTGCGCATCCCCAAACCCAAATCTCAAATCCAAAGTCCCGAGACCAAAGCCCCAAAGCTTAAGCCTCAAACACCACAAACGTGCAACAACAAACGCCACATGTATAGCATGCGATATCAGCTTGCCTTGAGTAAGATACTTGCACCCAAAGCCCTACCGAGGCGCTGGACATCATGATGAACTGTTGGCAGCCGCCTCTTGCCTGCCCAAGAAGCCCTGAACCCCAAGTCCACTGGTTTGGGGTTTAGGGTTTAGGGTTTGGGGTTTAGGGTTTGGGGTTTAGGGTTTACGGTTGATGGTTTTGAGCTAGGATTGGCGACATGGAACATGCAATGGAACCTCCAATGCAGCTTCAGGCTTACGGTGTCCTGTATAATTCCTGTACCTGATTTCCCACGAACCGCCATAAACAACAAATCCTATACCCGGACCCCTATACAAACCACAATTCTGATTTGCATTCCTAAATCCTAAGTTCCTAACCACTGGAGCCCACTACCCCACGCTCTACTAACTGCTTGGAAATAGAAGCTGGGAAACTAAAAGCAGGGTCCTAGTCAAGGTGTACGTAGCGTTTTGGGGGGAGTTCGGAGTCAGGAGCAAGGGCTTTGCCAGTTGCAGAATGCTGAGAAGTCTTTAGGGTTATATTGGGGTTAATATTCAGTAATACTGGGAACCTGGAAAACACAATGGAAGCTACTATTTATAGCTACCCTGAAATAGATAGAATATGGGGTATATGGGGATCTTAGTATAATATACCCAAAGCCACATTCTATCTACTTAAGGGGGACTGTAGGGTTTAGGGCTTACTGTAGAGACTGTCGGGTTGACCTTTTGGGGGTTCTGAGGCAGTGAAGAAGCCTGAATCATTACAGTAGTCGCCAAAAAAATATGGTTTAGGGTTAAGGTTTAGGACATCCCTTTATTATCTTTATTTACAATCTATGATATGGTGTGGCAGAAAACTGCCCAAACTCTCTTGAAAACATCGAGGACTTTCTATCCATTGTTATAGGCAACGTAGAAGCCTGAATAATTGTGTTATGCCCTGACGCGTTCCCTCCTTCATGTCTTGCACGAGTGTGTGGCTTTCAAGCGGGGACACGGCACCGCAACGCTCAGATCTTGCATCTCAAGCCGTACTGGTGCTTAAGGGGGAGCGGGGAAGTGAATATGGGGACCATGATGAGGGTATATTATGTGTGGGGATATCTATAGGACTTCTTTTAAGGACACACACTCCCTATGGATTGGAGAAAAAGATCTCCACAGTCATTCTGCGGGCTCATAGCCCTTAGCCCGACAACCTAAGTCTGAAGACAGTATATATACTCCTCTACCTAGTTCTGAACCCTCTCAGCCCTAAACCCTAAACTCGAAATAGTTGCCACATAGAATCTGCACAGCACACTGCGCTGCCTTGAGCCCCTTCACTAAGGGCTGGATGTCTTCCTGAGAGAAAACAATTGAATGCGTTTAGGGTTCAGGGTCTAGGGCTTGGGACAAACTGGTTGACAGACAGATGTCCACAGCGTCCCTCCCTAAACCCTAACCCCTAAACTCTGGAATCTTAGGAGTTGAAGGCATGGTGACTTTGCAGGAAGTTCGGTAAACGGCATCCCAGCCGCTGTAGCTGCCTTATTCATTATCTTAGTCATTATTGACCCTGGGAGCAAGAAGGATCCTTTGGGTTTAGGGTTTAGTCCTTATTGACCCTGAAAGCAAGGAGGATCCTGGGAACCTATTTGCGTTTACATCATGGGTTCCCGTACTGTACAGCTTTAGGTTCCCCCCTAACTAACCCTGATTAGGCCTGATTATCCCTAAATAATTTTTGTGAAGGGGGAAACCACGGGGTCTAGTATAGAGGGAGGTAGTAGAGAACACATAGTTATATGAAGATGCCAGCCACCCCAAACGTCCAAAGGATCAGGCTTAAGCAAAAGTGATGGATTCCCGAACCACCCCTCTATACCACCCTCCACCCCCAAGGTTCCTCCCTAATTAGCCTTAACTCGCCTTAAGTTAAGTTGATTCGTTTTGGTGGTAGAAAGGAACCCTAATCGATGAACCCGAGAACGAGCCCATAGAAAATTGAGCATGCCTTGCTGGCGGCCAGGCTTCAAGCTTGCGCACATTGTTGTCAAACACCACATCGAACTTGCCAGCCTAAGTCATTTTGGTAAGTGGAGAGGGCACCTCAGGGGCCTAGATTATGAACCTATACAATTCGCTTACTGGGGGATTAGTAGGGAAGAAGGGAATGGGTTTCATAGGGGGTTAGATTCCCTTATCCCTATGAAGAACCAGCAGATTCGAGGTCTCTTGAGGCACGCGATACCTCATTCACAAGGAATAGCGCACTACGAAGTTGGCAACCTAAACCCTAAACCCCAATTTCCTAAGACCGGGCCCTACATACAGCCCCCTGTAGCACCCTTAAAGGAACCATCATGCCGGAAATCTGAAGGTCTTTTCATAAACATTGCACTGTGTGAGTGGGGAGTTTGGTTTTCGGCGCTCCGGGGGTCCGGGCTCATCTCAGAGCTCACATGACCTATCGTCTAAATTCCTAGTATCTGCCTTCCGTGCTCAGAACCCTCAATCCTTGACTTGGTCTGTGGTCACCCTTCATTTCTCCACGCACAACCGGCAAGTAATGCCTAAGTCCTACACCCCATATATCCCTGTACCTTGGGGCTTCCGCTTCATTTTTCATCTGTTTTTTCCATGTGGTCTCCAAACCCTGAAACCTAAACCCCAAACCTAAGCCCTAATCCCTAAACCCAAAGCCTACGCTAACAACCAACAAGATGTGTAACAAGCTTCTCAGTCTCCTAGAAATGCCCCAATGACCCTAACGCAAGCAGTGCCTTCACTGAAACATAGGAAGCGGTGTTTGAAGGGTTTGACACGCATGTTTGAAGGGTTAGGGTTTAGGGTTTAGGTGTGCGGGTTACAAAGTGCTTGGGTGCATGGCGATATGTAGGCATTAGGGCTTCTTAGTAGGCGTATCCAGTATCTAGGGTTGTTTTGACTGCCCCAACATCCAGATGAGGGCCTGATGACTGTCCCATGACTCTTAAGAGTCCTTCTCATAGGGTTTGGGTAACCAAAACCTCTTTATTCTGAGGTGGTCAGCTCTCACAAGGAGGGTCTCACTTCTGCATCATGAAAGTCTAGGTGTTGTACCAGAACGGGTACCCGAAAGGAGCGATGCTTTTTCCGCAAAATCCTAAAGTCTGAACCCTAAACCCTAAGCCTGCAGACACTCTGAACCCGTGAACCTGCCGACTGGAAGCTGAAGATACCGCCACCTTCAACTGGTCCGGGTTTTTGCGATCGGCGTGCAGAACTGTCACGCCCTGGAAAGAGGGCGTCTTCAAACAATCTGCGAGGGTGCAGGGTTTGGGCTTTACACACCCTGAAATAGTGCCCTTTGAGAAGAGCATATGGGGATTTCTGAAAAGTAGAGATCCCTTTTTAGTAAGGGTAGAAATTTCGAGCTATTTAAACGCGGCCCCTAATTTTCAGAATCCCCCATATTATGATCATAATCACATGGCCATGTCTTGGAAATTGGTGGTTGCCAAATCATAAGACTTGCGCTGGGATGTCCTTACCCTAAATCCCAAACCCTCAATCCTGCATCGGAATGCCAAAACCTTAAAAAAGTCTCCACATCTCAAGCATCCCTGGCTTGGCGTAGAACCCAGCGGAACATTTACGAGAGCTTCCCTGCCAACCCTTCAAAGTACAATTCCTGAAAAAGTCTTGCACCGCTCTTTGGCTTGGGTCTTGGTAGCTGGACCTCATGCCTATATCCTGGCATCACTAAGACCCGAACCTTAATCCGCAAAACCCAAAGATCGCTGCACGGCGAATCTTGATCGAACACGCTGTAAATGCCTGTTAAGTCCTGGTTGGTCCGCTCTTTCTTCAATAAATGATATGAAGAGCTTGGGAACCCTAATCCCTGCAACCAGGACCCTATAAGAATCACATAATCACGGGGTCCTTATTTTGGGTGTCCTTTACCTCAAGAACACCTGAATAACGCAAGCTTCCGTTTAATTCTCGGCTTTCTTTTCCATTTGATTCTCAGTTCTTCTATAGGCTTTGTTTGATGATGGCCTTATGCACCCCGGTATGACCTCTCCTTTCACAGCCCCTGGACACTCCCTCTAGAACACCTCTGAAAATATACTTAAACTTACGACCCCGAAGCCCCACAACGTAGACCCTAAACTCCCAAACCTTAAACTCCTAAACCCTAAACTCCTAAACCCTGATCCCTAAACCCTGATCCCTAAACCCTAATCCCTAAACCCTAATCCCAAAACCCTAACCCTAAACCCTAATCCCAAACCCTAACCTCCAAACCCTAAACCCTGAATACTATGACCGCATTGGTCCCTTAAGCCCCTTAAAGCACCCTCAGAGTTGCTGAGCTCTCTGAGCCAGAAGGGAGTCTTAGGATTTAGGAGTTCAGAGTTTAGGATTTAGGGTTTAGGGTTTAGGAGTTTAGGACTTAGGGATTAGGAGTTTAGGGGTTTAGGGTTCAGGAGTTCAGGGTTTAGGTTAGTTAAGAACCCCCAATCTGTGAGGTGTACTTACCCTGCTACAAAGACCGCCTAAACTCAAACACTAAAACCCTAAACCCTAAACCATAGTGGCTTCTATCGTCTCTTCCATGCCTCGCCCCTCATAAATCCCCCAGACCCCTACACGATCCCCCTACATAGCACCTCTATAATTCTTATATGGCGGCAATATCTCCCTATATAATTCCTTGAACCCTATATAACCGCTTAAACCCTAGATAATCCCTTAAGCCTTAAACCCTATTTAATCCTCTAAGCCCGCCAGAATCCCTATAAATGCTGTGACCAGCCTCCAACATCTTTTTGTACTCAGCATCGCTGACGCCAGGAAGGCGCTCCTCGGTCAGCATTTTAGAGTTTAGGGTTTTCTAAAAAACAAAAGGAAGATAGGGGTGTCAGGGTAGGGGCGTAGGGGTGGTGTAGGGGGTTAGGGGGTGTGTTGGTGTAGGGGAATAGGGCTGTAGGGTGTGGGTGTCGGGTGTCGGGGAGTGTAGGGGTGTAGGGCGTAGGGGTGTTGGGATGTAGTGGTGCTCGGATGTAGGGGTGTGGAGGTGTAGGGTTGAGGTGTGTAGGGGTGTGGGGGTGTCGGGGTGTAGGTGGAGGATGAAAGGTGGAGGTGGAGGGTGGAGACCATGTGACACCGAACCGAACTGAATCGTCCATAGCAATGCCTAGCAATACTCTATCGACTTATGATCGGTAGGTATCCAGTATCAATCGAGCGATACATTGCAATCATGATTCAGGGCTTATAAGTGTGTAGGGTTTAGAGGTCTTGCTAACCTGTGGTTAGAGAGTACATTGGGTTTGGGATTTTACCATCAGAATGGAAAATCAAATACGAAAATGGCACATGAAATTGACACTGGGGTTAAATAAGAGTTTTAAGGGATTCGGGCTTGAATGATCGGGAGATTCTGGTAACCCAGCCCCTGCCTAAAAAATTGGGACCCGATGATAGGCCTATGATAGTTATAGAGTCCTGATTTTTGGGTTTGGGGTTACAAAAGACCCAATTACTGACCCACGAAAAGGCCTTCACTCTTTGCGGCGAAATAGCTCGAATAGTGCCTTGGATGGGCTACTGCGCGTTCCTCAAGGGAGCACGGGTACCCTTGGCAGGTGTGCGGCCATGAAATTGTATGTACGTATGTATTTATGTACCTGACCTGGTTTTCAATAACTGGCAAACCTTATAAGGCCCCTTACGAGAAATCAACCCTAAACCGTGAGCCCATGAAAGTCCGTTTATTATCTAGCCCACAAGCGACCTTAAATGTGGGGAAACCCTAAATCCTAAATCCCAAACCCTCAACCCTGAACCCTAAATCCTAAATCCTAAACCCTAGATCCTAAATCCTAAACCCCCTAAACCCCCCAAACCCTAAACTAAAACACCAATCCCGAGGGTCCGGAAGGCCGCGGTTGGTCCGTCCGCGATTGCACACCACCTTAATTACCCAGAAGGTCCAAGTACCCAATCATAGGGGCTTAGGGCTTAGGAGTTTAGCGTTTAGGGCTTAGGATTTAGGGTTTAGGGTGCAGGGTCCAATGTAGTTCCTTTTTGAGTTTGGTATGTTTTTTTGGGGTAGGACTCTTATTAGGACTAGCAAAAAAGGTGCTACATTGGAGGGTCTAGGTAGGGTTTAGGATTTAGGCTTGGGGTTTAGGATTTAGGGTTTAGGATGTATAGGGTTGTGGGCTTAGGATTTAAGACTTGGGGTTGAGGAAGAGTCCGGGTTGCTGTTAAGGAACTTAGTCTAAGTTACCATAATGTAGGTATATTGTATAGGTTTCAGGGTTTAAGTTACCAGTTACCATCATATGGGTATATACTAGATAATGGTTAACAGCAACCCGATTATCTACTCTTGCTTGCGGTGAAGTAGTGCAGTGAATAGAAGTACTATATTAGGGTTGAACCGGGGCCTGGATACGCTTCCATGTTGGTTTGGGGGAGGATGCTGTTGTAAGATTAGCGAATGCAATCCACTTCTTTGTCTTCAGTGACAGGGTTATCGATTAATGCACCTCCCCGACCCAGTTGCAACACATTCCGAACAGGCTCGGGCACCGCTACAAATACGTGGATATTTTCTTCAAATAGGTTCCCAGACTACGAACGGCGAGCCAAGAAGCCACTTTGTGTCCCATTTCGCGCAGCTTCGCCACAAGGTAACATCCTTGGTTGTCCAGTAGGTATATGAAGCTTTCCCACAGTAAGCCGTTTGGTTCATGCCGTGCTTCTGTTACACAAAAACCCTAAACTCAAGGAAAAACATCTACCCATTGGACAGGTAGGCAGCCGATAAATCGCGTGCCGCCCATGACCAGAATGCGCCTTGGCAGGAGTTGATCACGATTCCACTGAGAAGACATCACGTCTGGACTGTCTTGAGGAGGGCTTGCGGGAGCGTAGACCCCTAAACCCCTAAACTGCAAAAAACACTCACAAGGGCCTTCAGAAAAGACGCTGCTGCACTTGATTTGGGTGATGAGCTTCAATTTAGTTCTCTGTATATAGGACCTTCCCAAGGCTAACCTTTTGCTTCACAGTGGGATTTGATGATTTACCCGCAAAGTTTGAGACGCGCGCTTGCCCTTTTGTTATACCCGATTCTTCCCCAGACCCCCTAATGGATCCAAAACATGGAGCCCCCTAATGATCCCCTAGTTTCCCTAATGTAGTACCGAGTTCAATTGGGGGGGTTCCATTTGTTGGATCCTTTCGTGGGTCTGGGTAGAGGCTGCCCGGTACTCGGGTAGGTTGAGGAGTGAAGTTTGGCATGGTGGGATGGTAGAGGGGCACGTCAGTTTGCGCAGCTGTTACAATTAGGGTTATATAAGGGTTATATTAGGGTTTGGGGCAAAGAACAGAACCTTAAATCCCAAAGTGGCCCGCTTATGACTCCACCCGGAAACAGTATTCTAGGATCTTATTGGCTTCACACAAAAAACACATTTGAAGGAGGTCCTTGACCCTAAACCCACTCGAGAGCTTGGGCGGGGGCTTGCTGCCTCACATGACATAATGCAGCAATAGCCGGTCTGGCTTTAGTCAGCGATTGTTAATTCTCTTTCCATATCCACAAAAACTATAGTCTAAACGCCTGGTATCCCCCTTAATAGGCCCTTTTCTAGCAGCCCTGTAGAATTCCCTATAGAATCTCCCTTTAAGGAATTTAGACTATAGCTCATATGGTCTCGGGAAAGGTTCAAAACTGCCTTTAGATTCTGGGGGTTAGGGCTTTAGGGTTGAGGGCCCTAAACCCTAAAAGTATCCGCACACAGATGTCTTCTGCAGGCCGCATCAACACCTACCCCTTCGAACCCACTCCATTGGGGCACGTGGCATTGTTGAGCAGGAAGATTAAGGTTTTAGGTTGAGGCGGTGTAGGGTTTAGGGTGTACCCTGCAAAATGAATGAAGGCCCTCTTGAAAATTGATAGCAGCCGCAAGAGCACTTGTAGTGGCAATATTGAGAACCCACTGCGTCACAAAGAGAAGGGAGTCGATGGAGAATACCAAGAGGCCAATTGCCCGAAGCTCCAAAGTCATGATAGGATCCATACTACGCCCTGAACATTCTAAGGCATCGGCTCTCTGCCACAGCTTTAGGGTCTAGGGCATCACTCACCATGAAAATCTCGGACGGTTAGAAGTGGGATCGTCCAGAACTTTGTTTTATTGCGGCCAGGACTCTGTGCTGTTTTTCTATCGTTTTAAATCACAAGCCCTACATCCTCAACCCCAAATCCCAAACCCTGAACCCTCAAACATATGTGTATATGTATCTGTCTATCTATCTATCTATCTATCTATGCCTTAAAGAGAGCCCTACCTAAATGCTTCCAACCCCGAACTGTCTGTTGGACCCAGCTTCTTCCTGCCCCCAGCTGGCGTGGCTGCGCAGGCCACGGACCTCTACTTTCTGGGGCTATGGGTTTCGGTTCAGAGTTTAGGGGTTACTGGCGGTTACCGTTAAGTGCCTTCAAAGAGGTTTATAAGAATATGCAGGGTTGACCTCTATGTTTAATCATCTCCTTCCGCTAAAAGAAGCTCAGCTCTCACCCCACTGAATACGAAATCCCCACAACATCTATCACCATATATTAGGGACGAGAGTATTGGCGGTATTGGGAGGGTGGAACTCCTGGGTTCAATAATACCGTGAACTCCCTTTTGTTTGGGGGGGAAACCCTAAACCCTAAACCCTAAACCGTTAACTTTTTTGGGGGGTGGGAGGAGGGTGAGTACGGCCTAAGCAGATCTACGGTGCATGATTTCGGGTATGGGGTTTGGGGGGCTGCTGATTGATGATCCCGAATACCTTGATAAGGAGTGTATAACAAGGGAACGAAGGCTCTATGGGCGTGCTTGAAGAAATGGATCTTGTAGATCAGAGGCTTGGAGTTCAAGTTCTAGGTGTGCGACGTTTCAAGCGACATCGGGGATTAAGGGGGCTTGGAGTAAAGGAGTGGTCTGTGACGGCTCATAATACAACGTGGGGATTTACACCTATGCAGTCCATACAGGCCCAATTGCTACAGTGGCGAATGTATCCTGCTGCCAGAAAGCGCAATAGAAGCACTGCTAGCTTGAAGGTTCCGGCTCAAACTTCCCATACTTATCCGCATCAGAGAGTGATTGCAGGACTTCGCAAGATGTGGAGCCTTAAAGGGCCTAATTGCACGACGGCTTGGTTTACTACGAAGGAAAGCCGAAAGCGCGTACCAACCCAGACCCCTGGGAGGATCTAAAAATTAGATCCAGTATATAGACCTATAGACCCATTATAACCCCTATATAACCCTTATATAATTTCCCATATGGTT